TCAATGGGAAAATGTAGCCCATTTTTGCCCATTTTCAGTTTCTGGTGCCATAGAGCCTCATGTATTCGAAAACTCCGTTGGAGGCCATTTTCCCATCGAACTTGTCAGAAAATCACATAACTTTTGAATAAAGTATCGGATCGGGCTAAAACTTTGGCATCTGGTTCTGTCCTCTAGCGCTACCTTCAGGCGGAGAATGAGCGTTCAGCGATGCCTAATTTATTTTTGCAATAAAAAGAAAAAAAAAACTAATTTTTTTTTTGCGACACCCTGTAGTATATTATAACAATTCTAATTTCGCCATCACACTCTAAAAATGTATTAATGTTTACATCTGCTCAGATCACGAAGGTGCCGATCCCTGCAATCTGCTGAGCGCATCCAGCGAATAGCATAACCTCAAAACGGATTTGACTTTTCTACTTATATATATATATATATATGAACAGCACCTGGGATAAAAAGAAGGCACTCGAGAGAAATATACTCCAAAAAATATTTGCCCTTAAGGAGATGGTCGTCCAAATCAAGGAGAAGGTCGCCGAAAAAGTTGTGTATGGAAACGTTTCAAGCCTGGTAGGCTCTTCGTCAGTCCGTGAAAGAACACCTCGTTATGTTTTTCTTTCAATCAAGGCAAAAACGGCCGCAAAGAAAAAGTAATTTGCAAAATGCTTACCGGTTAACGGGTATCTACTAAACTAAATTCTCGCTTAGAAGTCTAATTTATCCCGATAAGAAAGCGGTAAATAGTATTGAGATAATTAAATATAATATTATTAACGCCACTATTTTCACAAAACCAGCTTTTGGGACATGTGGTTGGACATAAGCCAATGAGAGGCCCAATGGAAAGCGTTTGCTCGCGTCACATTGAAAGATAAAGCTAGAAAAAAAAACAAAAAAACATTGCCCGCGGCACCGATTAGAAGATCTAAATTGAATGTCCATAAAAAAAAACGGCAGTGACCCTTTCGAACTCTTAAGGCCCTTCGGTTCTAAAGTGTTAAGTTTATAAATAAATACGGATTCTTTATTTTTTCGATCTCTGGTGCTTCGAAAGACACCATGAAGTATAATAAAATGAAGTGAGAAAGTCCGTTATGTCCTGTGGAGTTTAAGTGACGAGAAATTGGTCCGGCAATGTGTTTACGTGTGTGACTTTTATGTAGATTCGTGTGTTTTCTTATGCTTGTTTTAGTTTCTCCTATGTATTCGCGACTCCAGCGACCTATAGGGGGCGCCACCACCAAACAAACATGGCGGCTGAGAACAGGTCGCGTCGGCTCGGCCGGGCCGCCTGAGCGGTTGGCGCATTCAATTTAATATATTTTCTTTTGTTTAATGCCCTATTTTGTAGGTATTTGTAGCCGGTGCATATAAATTTGCAGATGATAGTTTTGTTTTCCCGGTGCTTTTTGTTCTTCTTATGTAAAACTTATGTTTCGGAGATTTTGTTCAAAACCGAAACTATGGGCTCCGGAGAAACGGTAATATACTCTAATCAGTTTGGATCAGCCAAGGAAAACGGCGATGACTACAGAAGTCTTCCACTGAGAGTGAATTTCAGCTAACTCGCATGCATCGATCATGCGACTTTTCTGTCCGCGATATCGAGCTTTTGTGCGTATCCGCGTTTAAGAAACAGCTCCACTCGTCTGCTCGGTCAACAACACAGGCTGCAGGAAAATTACGAAAATTAAGCAAGCGCTTCTTGAGCCAAAGAGCATGGTTATGTATTATATCACGTACTATGTACCACTAAAGCAATATTAGTATATTCTGCGGGTTGAAATGTGAGCTTAGTTGACTAGCTATTAGGTCAACTGCTGAATAAAAGCATATTTGACAGACAGAGATATACTACTCAAACTCAGCCAAATGGTTCTAGCCTGCAGCACGAAGACGAATGCGGACAAACGGAAGAGAATTTTTATCAGAGATTAATACAAAACCCCTCTGCATTGAACTTAGTGAAATCCTAAACGGAGAAATTGGGTAATTTTTGTGGGCGGACAACCTGAGCAATGTAGACGTATATTGTGGCTGGCTTCAACTGGGGTATACAGTAAATATTGGAGACGCGATAGATCATAATGTCGTGACATCTTTTACTTTGCGAGACGCGTCCCCCACCTTTTGAAAGTAGACAATTTCTCTCATTAATCGTATGCAGCGAGCAGGTTTTTTGGAATCAAGTAATTGCGAAATCAGCCCAACTCCTTCAGTGTGGTTCAGAGGCTTTTACGGCGAAAAGCAGCCAAGATGAATAGCCAACGCACCGACCGGCGTGGGTGGCTCAATCTTGAAGGTAACCTAACACAACCAAACTCAAGAAAAGCAGCCATTGAACCTTGCCATTTACTTGACTGCAACAGTGGTGTTCCCTCCAGTGAAACACTTCGTCTGTCGCCCTCAGTCCACTGTTCTACATCCTTATAAAGAAACCACTTATCAGTTACCATGCAAGTAATCGTCACTTTGAATGTGATTCGAGACAGACAAAGAATCAAAACGTTTTTCTGTGATTCCTTCCCATCGAAGAAATCGAAAGCACGCGACCGTGTGTTGTGGATTACACGGGCTTTCAAACACGTGATGGAAGGAAGCAATCTACTGAGGCTTCACCACACTAATGAGCACACAGGCAAACTTAAGAAATATTTGGACCTTCGTCAAATTACATTGTTCTCCACCGCGCCGACAACGCGTGTTCCGCGGAGGCCGCCAGAGACGCGGAGAGGCGCAAAGCGACATGTTCCGGCTGGTTCCCGGTTTTCCCGCTTGGTGACATGCGTTTTGCTGAAGTCGCAAGCAAGAGCGCCTGTCCTGTATACTTCTTGTCGTTGTCTTTCTGTTGCGCTATTTTATGTTTTACTGAAGGACAACATCGAAAAGCGCAAGATGCAGGATTGTCTATGGTGAAGGAATTGAAGAGGAAGTTCCAGATGGAAAGAAGGGGGGCAGACAAGCTTCAGGAAGACTTCACTAAGTTCTCGACGGCATGAGTCTCGGGAGATCTGACGAGCTGTTTCAGCCCATTAGCTGCGAGGAGCGCCAGCGCGGCGACTCCAGCAGAAACAATACTCCGTTTTCTTTTTTTTTTTTTTTGGGGGGGGGGGGGGGGTCTGTTTTGCAGACGTTCGTTGCAAAGAGCAAGCGCCGCATAAATACATACATACATACACACATACATACATACATACATACATACATACATACATACATACATACATACATACATACATACATACATACATACATAAATAAATACATACATACATACATACATCCCGAACCAAATTGTGCATTTTTTACATTGAATCAAATAAATAACATTTTCCGAATTACAGTCAAAGGTACCGTTTATTTTCCAATTAAAGTTATTTGCTGTGCCACGAATAGAGTTAGCCATTATTATATTAACACAAAATGCATTGGTTACTATTGCATTTTATGTAATCAAGAGGGACCAAGCTACGTCCGATGGAGTTTCTGGACTGTCTTAAAAAATCCAATAAATTATGTGGTCTCCTAAACGCTATACCAGGCGGTCGAGGGATAACAGTATTTAAAGCAGTGTTCATGTGTAAAATATTCACGTGTCGTCTAAGAATACTGTTTATCACAGTGATTTAGAATGAGAATATTACAGTGATCTGTACCTTTACTTTCTTTGTCGAGATGCAGACAGGCTATGCGGAGTCAACATTTCTGAAATAAACACACTCGACCCTGATATATGATTACTCCAATTTGTGAAACAGACTAAATAAATGTTAAGGAATTGGATGAGATGATTTCCTAACTTTTACTAAATGGGAACCTCCAAAAGATGTTGAAGTTTTATACATCTCAGCGCAGTAATCTATTCTCGTTTTAACCGAGTTATCTTTTATGAAAGAAAGAAAGAAAGAAAGAAGGAAAGAAAGAAGGAAAGAAAGGAAGAAAGAAAGAAAGAAAGGAAGAAAGAAAGAAAGAAGCAAAGAAAGAAAGAAAGTAAGAAAGAAAGAAAGAAAGAAAGAAAGAAAGAATGAAATCTTTATTCGGGTTTTCTCTTCGTTTCACCAGCGAAACGTCTGTTGAGACGCCTTGTGTTATGTTTACAAACACAATGTTGCCAACCTTGGGTTGGCAACATGCTTGTGGCACATATTGTGAACGGACATTGTTTTAGTCCCTCGATTTCTGTTACGGCACTACTTGACCATGAGCGTAAAATGATTGTCGACAGAGTGACTATTACCGAGCACAGTCCAAGTGTCGTGGTGCTCGCATCCAATTCGTGAGCTGGATTCGGCTCGCTGGGTTGATTTTCAAGATTGCATAGATTGCATAGATTACGTATATTGCTCCCAACCCTGGTGTGGTAGTTTTTTTCCGCTCCGCTGAGTAATGTGCAGTTAGTACAAATTCTAACTCAATGCCGTTTTATGGTTCCTTTAAGCAGACAAAATAAACAGTCAATTTTCAACCTCTTTGCGGGAAAAAATTAATATTGTACTCATCCACATTACACGTTAAGAGGGACACCGGCTTGGTGGTAATAATGCCTTGTACAATAAAGAAAGAAAGAGTAATAATGTCATGCGCGTGGCACAGATGACAGCGCACGCGACTAGAGTTTGAACCGCACCGACCTAGTTTACCTTTTACTATTCGTTGCCCTTCGGGGAACTTGGAAGTTGCAGTTCAATTTTGGCATCTATCGCATCTTCTGGTCTAGGATCTTCCAGAACATATATAGTGTATAAAAGCAGCTCTATCACGCCGCGTCCAGTCAGTCTTTGGCTAGCGCTCGACCCTTTTTTTACGTCGGCATAAACACCTGCAAAACCATTTTTTTTTGCTACGAGTGTGTCACATGAGATTTTTAGTTCTCTCGATTATTTATGGTTGCGTCACTTAACACCCTTGACGCTAATACTAGTGTGAGTTGTCACCGTTTTTCTTTTTTTGGTAGGCATAGGGGTGGACACCGGGGGAGGGGGACTTATACTCACAACATCTGCGAGAGCCGTTGTCTGTCGTTTTCTAGATTTGTGGCGGCCACTTCGAGCTGCTGCAGCAGGTCTATTTTGACCTGGTAGCTCTGCAGGGTCCTCCGACGTTCCAAGAGCTGGATCCGCTTCTCGTGCTTCAAGTACAAATGAAGGGACTCCTGGGAGATCTGCTGGACAAAAAAATAAAGGGACGGACAGACCTTAACCAAGTCGCCTGCATAGTTGCTTTAACTTCAATATTGCCGGTTACTTTTAGTGCGGATTACGACAGTCGTAGTCCGCACCTAATGCCTGACGCATCATACCTAATCGAATGGAGAGCGTGTCTCAGCATATCTATATAGTATATTGCCCAACATCTGCGCTTCAGATTGCAATGACTGACTAGGATCAGCATAACTTTTGTTCAAAGTGTCAATCCTTAACAGGCCGCCATCTATGCACCAATTAGATAATGTGATCTACTTACGAAGCGTGGTAAAGTAAATGATGCGAACTTTTTCCCGAAAAAATTTAACTCGCGTCCTCTGCGTTTAGGATGTCATCAAATCATATATTGCTTTAAGTTCATGCCCGTGCTGTTTATGTCAAGTTTTTGTGCAGGACGATATCATCATTATCTTTTTGGACTTTTAATGTTTGTCCTATATATAATCGTTATGGTCTCATTCACCGACTTATTCAGATATTCATAAGGTGTGCTTTCCTTTAATACCAGTTCCTTCACGTTCAACTTTGATTAACGCTTCCTTAAACGCCGTTAATAAAAGTAAAAAAAAAAAAAAAAAAACTCGTGAGAATTTAAATCTGATTTTCCAGCAGGTCAGGTAACATATAGAAATTATTTTTTGAAAAGTTGGAAAACACTTATACTCATCATCTACTTGCCGCATCCTGGTGATACATGCATTAATAATAATAAATAAAGTGATTATCATCTATTCAGTTTTGCTTTGGTTTTACCCTTCAAAATACCTGTGTTAAAAGTTTTGACCACCGAACATTTAAGAAACAAACAGGGCCAGAGATCAGAGGCGTCGTCAGTGACGTAATCTTCGGGTTCCCAAATGGGGCTTGGCGAACACACCTGAGGATCGTTTTCATCCTTCGCAGGCTTGCACGAGTTCTGCTGAGGTTTCACTACCGCAGCTGCCGTGTCCTTTTGGGGATATGTGACCTGCGCATATTCCACAGAATATAAAAGCGCGTTATTCCTTCAATGAAGTGAAGTACAAAAATCATATAGACAACTGAAACTTCAGATACTAAAAATCTTACGCAGAAGAGATGTTCCTATTTATTTTCTTTATTTTCAGTGGATATTTCGTTCAGCATTTCGGGTTCCATACCCTCCCCTGCCCCTTTCAATGTGGATGCATCGCATTGAAGTGCGGCAGTATGCCATTACAGTGTAATGCACGCTAATGACCCTAGGCTATCAGTTGTAGTGTACATAGGCCAACTCGACCATGTACAAAACTGAAAAACCAAATGTTATTTTATGGTAAATTTTCCGCTTTATAAACCTCCATGGCAAGACCAACTATTTCACCTTTTAGAGCGCAGCTCTAAGCGCCCGTTTCCGGCTTGAGCGGCGTCGCCGTCGCCGTCGGCGTAACCGCGCGTTGCATTATGGGACATTTCACATAATGACGTCACACGTGACGTGTCACTCGTGAAGGTCACGACCTTCACAGTTAAGGTCACGTGAAGGTCACAACCTTCACGAGTGACATCACGAGGGAGGGGGAAGGGAGGAGGATGGAGGAGGAGGGGAGGAGAAAGAGAGGAGGAGGAGGGACATACCCTCCTCTTTGTACCCTCCCCTCCTCCTCCTTAAGTGCTGCGCTCTAATTCAGCATTAGAGGGGATTGTAAACGTCTTTCATTTCTTTTTGTACAGGAGACGGTGTTTAATAAACCGAGCCATTACTATCAATTTCAGGGTGAAAATACTTATCAAAGACACTGTCAGACATACGACAAGCCTTCATATCGTTAATGCCCATGGTACTGAAAAATTTAGTGTATCAATAATACATGCGTGGTTCCCGTGTAAATAACCTTTAAAGGTACACTGACAGGGTATTTAGGCTCGCCAAGGTGTTTATCTGTAGATGACACATGAGAGCCCAACTACCCAGAACACAATTTGCGGCTCGAAATTCGTTTTCTTTCCGCCCGAAAACCGCCGATCGAGAACTGGCCGGTTTGAGTCGCGCTCACTCTCTTTTTCGTAGTCACGTGCCGTTTTGTATGGTTTAAACACAACCACCAAATTTAGTCAAAGTCGTCGGTCATCGAAGACACTCACTCAATATTAAAATTAGATAAACAAATATAATACCTATTTTTGTGACTTCTAAAAGAACGGCAAATACATTGATTGAAAAAAAAAAAAAAAAAGAAGTTGCACAGCCACCTGACTTTTAGCAACCACTGTCCTCCTCTATATGTCTTCTTTCTCCCCAGTCCAGTTTCGGTTGCGGTTTCGAGCAGTCGCGTTTTTTTTTTTTTTTTACTTTATTAAAAATATAGGTGACGTTGTAGCAAAATATTGATTGGGTAGTATTTTGACATCGTTACGAATCGCCTGGCAAAAAAATAAAGAAATATTTTGAGGAGTGTCAGCATCCCTACAATGCTTTATAGTAACACATCTATACCCTCGATAAGGAGTTCCATTCATGTGATCTCCTCGGGAAGAAAGAATATTTAATCGAACTTATCTTACATGCATACTCTTAAAAAGTTTACATTTTGCAAAAATAAAAAGAAAAAAAGGTTGTTCTGGGGCGGAAGATATTTCCGTCTCAGAAAACAAAGCAAAAACATAATTTTATTTATTTTATACCTTTTATATTTGGCATAACGTTTGCATTGATGCTTCGTGTAGCTCTTTATCGAAGCGTAGTTTGTTTCAGCGTTTCTTCGGGCATTCGTCCTGCTACGTAAAGTTTCATTATTACCAAATGTCCAGCAAAAAAATTTGCAATTTTTTTTGCACCGTCAAACTAATCTACGTAGCGGACGCTCATTTTCCGTCCGAATGTAGCGCTAGAGGTTCGAATTAGATGCCAACGTTTCAGCGCGACCCGATATTTTATTCAACAGTTATAAATGATTTTATGAAAATGTCAATGGGAAAATGATGGCCGACGGAGCTTGTGAATACATGAAGCTCTGTGGCGCCAGAAACCGAAAACGGGCGAAAATGGGCTTCATTTTCCTATCGAAATTTTCAAAAAATCACTTATAACTTTCGAATAAAATATCGGTTCGTGCTGCAACTTTGGCTTCTGGTTCAGAACTCTAGCGCTATCTTTGGGCGGAGAATGACCGTTCGGTCATGCATAGTTAATTTTTGCGACAAAAACAAAAACGCTGTAAAATTGTTTTTGGAAGACGCTGTATATTTGTTTTTAACGTAGGAAAATTATTAAATTTGCATGAAAATTATTTGAGTTTACTTTTTTTCTTTTAGCGTGTTTGTATTCGAAGTTTGTTTTTTGTGGTCCTCAGTGAACCGGAATCGTCTTTTTTACGCGCGTCCTCACCACGGGTATTCCCTATACAAAATCAGCGATTAAAAAAAAAAAAAAATTGTGGGCATTCCGCATGTAGTTGTCAAAACTGGGAGAAGCTGCCGAAGCACGAGAGCCAATAACATATCTCCGGTTATCAGGTTTTTCGCGGACTTAAAAGCTGATGCTCGTATAACAAAGTACCGTTAAAGTCTAAGGTGTGATCCAATCAAACCCGTTCGAGCGCCTTTATTAAGACGAGCGGAAAGCTACAGTGCTCACCAAAACTTACGGAACACGTGAATGGCGTCTTGTCTCAAGCCGAAGAACTGCACGTTCAGTAAAACAGTTCGAGTGAGAGAGACCGCTCGCTCAAGACCGAAATTGCGGTAGAATCGGGGACAACACAATAATTTTGGTTACGAGCCGCTCTAGGCTTTTTGCTTCATTTAGTAGACACATGAAATGCTTACTGATTGAATCATCAAATCGCTGACTGTTTTGAAACTCCTATATGAATAAACCTTTGCGGTAGGAGGGGGCGATTAGTATAGATTATCCGACCGCCAATATTTCTGCTTTGTCCACGCTTTAGCGAGCGACCTCCTTTTTTATTGAGCTATTCTTCAGGGCCGCCGCCAGGATAGCTCTCCCTAGACTAAAAACACTGTTCGCATGTTCCAGAAAAGTTTGGTGAGTACTTTACATCAGCTGGCGGGACAAACTAAACAACACAATATAACAGGAAACAAGAACGCACCAGGGCTCCTTAGAAATCACCGTGCGCTTTTCCGGAATGCGTCTCACCGCTTGGAGAGGCGGCGGATAGCGTCCGCCTGACCCGACTGCGGAAGGTCTTTCGTTTCCTAGATATTCGCGCCAAGTCATTCATTGCTCTATTCGACACACATTTGTCACCATACACCGCCTGCACTTTACGACCTTCCGCTCTTTGGAACGGAATCACCGCTCACAATCGCAAGCATGGCGCCCCGACTAATGCCCCATGCGAGCAAGCACGTGCAGCTTGCGCGTGAACATAGCTTTGGCAAGCTTGAAATAGCACGGGCTTGTCCGTGCGAGCAGAGACTTGCCGGCTGCCAGTTATCTTGCATGCAATCGTCTGACTCTATACCATGGACAGATTCCCGATCACGCCGGCCGTGTTGTCAATGGTGTCGAACACAAACCAGACATGCGAGGTGAAGGATTTAACGCTTGCTGGATCTTACTTTGGTTTGCGCTGATCGCGGGAATTGAAACGCCTCCGGGATTCTCATGCTCCGGTGTATACGGGACGTGGCACAAACGGGTTTCATTTTATCACGCCTCGTATAATCCACAATATTGGCTTGAAGCTCCCCCTACCCCCCGGGATAGAGAAAGTAACAAAAGCCTTATTAATTCTTATTAATTCCTGCTGATATTATCGCGAAAAACGAACAAACAAATACCACGTACTAATAGAAATCAGGTGCCTAGCAATTATCGCTCAAGGGCCGCGTCTCCCCGCCTAATGAAGTGGCAAGCCGCTTATTCTTGTTAGGCACATATTCCTGCGTGTAGCGGTTCAGTGCGTTTCGTCATTGAAAGTAAGAGTTGGTCTTACGACAACGTCCAACGGGAGCGGCGCCTGAGTGCTTCCTCCGCAGCCCATGCCGGGCTCCAGAACACCACGCAGTCCTAAAAGGGAGAAAAGGAGCAAATGACCAAGTTCTTAGTAAAGAGCACAGTATTGATCGGGTGACAATGACTTAAGCCTGATTATCATGGTGCGATTTTGCTTGCGATTCCGCAACTGCGACCTTAAACCGCGCAACCTCCACCACAGTTTTTTTTTTTTTTTTTTGCCACAGGAGTGACGTCGCAATTTGTGAAATCGCAAGTAATATTGCAGCATTCGAATCAGGCCTTAAGCGCCGTTCACACATATGCAACCGAGTAAAACCGAGAGAGACCAGACCGGTTTTTAAGCCTTTTGCGACGTCTTAGGACCGGAGGCGCTGCAGCGGAGCTGGTCCTCAGACGTCGCAAAGGTCTGATCTCTCTCGGTCTCACTCGGTTGCATATGTGTTAACGGCGCTTTAGACGCGGGGTTTGCTGTACTGAGAAACTGGACACGCGTTGAGCTACGCTCATTAGCCGATACCAAAAGAATTTGTCTAATTCATAAAGTGTAAGGAAGCATTCGAAGTAAGTAATATTGTGAGTTAGGTGTACACACTCTCTTCGAGGGATGGTGTTCGCTGCGAACCAAGTGACGACACAACTGACCACATTTATTTCAAAATGCCACCGTCTACTCGCTCAGACGCTCTTATTGCCGAACCTTTTTTGCGAATTGAATGATGGTTGAATACGCGACCTTCCCCTGCTCGGAACGCCCCGATACGACTGACCTAATTGCCTTCATCTCATAGTCATTTTTGCTTTGCCAGCACGTGTCCGGCAGTTTCGACACGCGTACGTGCTCGCTTTGAACGTTCAAACTCTACCGCTACTATGCCGCTAAACGCTCCCCTGCTCCGAGCGCTCACTTTTGCACGCTAAAACTCTGCGGAAAGTTAAATGGGACAGGGAGTGGTCGTATAAGGCGGACCTCGTAGGCCAATCAATGATACTGAACGTTCCATAAAGCAACGTTCTGGCTCCCATATTGGGTGGCGCAAGACGGCCTGGTATCAATTGGTATAAAGCTGGCTACAAGTATGTTACACGACATGATTGAGAATGACGTGCATTCGCAACTTTTACAGCCGATAGACCATTCTGATAATCGCCTTCTACACGCTGCCATCTTTGTCTACTGGGCCGGGGAACGCGTGCCGGGCATGCGCAGTAGCCCCTTCCGCCGAATATCAAACGCCGCCTATGCGTCCGCGGTACAGTGACTCAGCAGTTTTCGCCGGATTGATACGCGCTGGAAATGTGTGTAGCGATCGCGGTGCCGCTTATCAAATGGTGAGCGTATTCAAGGATGATCGGGACAGGACAAGAGCATGCGGTTAGGTTTGTGACGCCTTGGTTTACTAATTGAGTCTGCCAAACGATTTGTTTTTATTTAGAGAAACGATTTTCATTCGATGGTTCTTGACGTATCAGGGATGGTGTTCTCTCGTACCACGAGGCGATCTTCGCTGAAAGTTGGCAACCAAACGACTGACATATATACTAAGTGCTCCGTCAACGGCAGCGGTACGAACATTTATGAGTACAAGTTGTCCACTATAACTTGCACCAAACTTCATTAAAAAAAAAAAAAAAAAAATGGAGCGCTCTGCCGGAGCGTTTATATGTTATTAGCAAGCAGCTTACGAAAGCGTGCGATTTCTTTTTTGCGTGTAGTTTAATTATTTCAGACTAATTAGCTAACCTTTTTAATGATTCGTTTAAGGGCCGAGGTGTGAGTTGTAGAGCGCATTGGGAAACACACAATTAAAGGTGCCCTGAGGAGGTTTCTGAGGTCGCCTAAATTTGGCGATCACTCTCTCTGCGGGCTCTAACCATCCTGGAAATCTATAAATCATAACGATGCGCAGCTGATTTCCCCATTAAAAAAGCAATCAAAGATCGAACACACTGAGGTCATCTCCGGCGATGGAATGAGCACTGTTCCGGCAGCCAGGACGACATGTGACCAATGAAAACGCGACATTTTGTTGAGTCTTGCGTAAGCTGCCACTGCAAAATGTGTATGCTTGTGCAGATGATAAAAGCAAGTAAGAGTAGTCGAAAACTGTTAATAGAGAGTTTTAGTAGATCGTTCCGATACCTCCGATAGCCCCGATAACGATACTATGCATGCACGAGGGAGGCGGTGGCGGAGTATCGGGTATCGTTATCGGAGTCATGGGAACGATCTACTAAAACTCTCTATTTTTTTTTTCTGGAGAGAGAATATAATAGTGTAATAATTGTCTGAAAAACAGCGCACTGTTTTTTTTTTTTTTTTTTTCTGCGGGAGTGATGTGTCCGGTCGTCAGCTCTCGAGCTCGCGCTCGCTGGGTTGAGTCGTAGTCCGGGCCGTATGGGCAAACTAGCCCCGCGCATTCGATATAGCACTCAGCGGTTCCACCGGTCGGAGGCGGGGGGGGGGGGGGGGGGGGGGGGTTCGATTTTTATTGGCTGACAGTGGTCCTGGCTGCCGGCACGATGCTCCACCCATCGCCGGAGATGACATCGGTGTGCTGCGATCTTTGATTGCTTTTCTTATTAGGGAAACCGGCATCGTATCGACATGAATTAGGGATTTCTAGGGTGCTTAGAGCCAGCAGAGTGAGTTATCGCCATATTTAGGCGATCTCAGAAATCTCAGGGAACCTTTAAGGTGTCTTTGTTATATGATGCGCTTTGCGCGTTTTCATTGAACCTAAAAAAAATCCCGCGAAATATAAAAAATAAAACAAAAAAAACTTTTTAGCTTTTTTTATTTTAGTGAAGAAGGAAGACCAGCGGAGCTGTAGTTTCTGTTCTCAGCGATGGCTTTCTAGGTGAGCGACCTGCTCTTCTTTCGCAAGAGAATCCGAAGCGCTCGACGCAGTGGAATTTTAGGCGATAGCGGCCTCGCGGCGGTTGCGGAACCATTCGCGCTGCTGCGCACATCGCCGCTCGTTCCGTTTCCGTTCTTCTTCCTCCGAACAGAGCAGTATATTGGGAGTGTTTGGCCAGTGGCTGTGGCGACGAAGGCGCCGGAGAGGAGAAAAGTGACAGAAAGGGAGGAGAGCGCCGAGGGAGCGATGGCGAAAGAAGGCAGCAAGGAGGAGACGACCGCCATTTTGACGCAACGCTGTCCGCGCAATGCACTGTTGAGGCTACGTGTCGTCTGCTACGGGCTTATTTCTTTTTCGCCTGAATTAAAGTTTGCGCTCAGACCGGGAGAAACTTAATTCGTTAGCTTTTTAAGCCACCGAGAAATAAAACTATACCATTTTCTTGTCAAAGTCTGCCAAATAAAAGGAAAGAACCGAAATTTGGATGTCGATCCCATGCATTCCGCCGGGCGAACGCTCAGCTGGGAGCAGCCGAGAGTTCACGCGCATGCGCTCAAGCCTCTCGCTCTGCGCCGCTGGCTGATTGGCTCACTCGGGAGGGGGGCGTTACGGCGGCGAGATCATAAACTGGCCAAACTTTCCTCATTAAAGACTCTGCCTCCGAAGAAATATTGCCGCCATCTATGAGCGACGGCAGCAACCAAATGTCTGGTTGCCGAGGCTGGAAAGGTTGCCGCGATCTATGAGCGACGATGGCAAGCAGACAACCGGTTAACACAACACTCTGGACAGCTACAACCATCTATGAGCGACGGCGGTAACCATAGTGTTGTGTCGACCGCGGGTGTTGCCGTTTGTTTAGTACCGGACCCGATCCGAAGAAAACAAGCCCTTAACAACTCCGCTGTAAAAAAAAAAAAAAAAAAAAAAAAAAAAAGAGTGCACGTGACAACGCGCTAGCGCTTTACGTTTGCAGCGCGTTCGGACATACCCTGAAGGAACGAAGTTCACCTTATCCCTGGCGCGCTGTCTGAGACAGGGCTTTAATTGCGGCAGCAGGTGCTCGCGCTTAGTACCTTCGGGGCCTACACAAACACGAAGCACTGTCTTGCCAGTGATGAGGGAGACTTCGTTCCTTCAGAGCCTGTCTGAGAGCGCTGCGAGCGCGCGACGCGCGTAGAGTTCCTTGATACTTCTTTCTACAAGTAACGACAACCAATACAAATGACAAATCACATTCCGCTGGAACAAAATGGCGCCATTCAGCTCAGTCTTCTGCTGTGCGCCGCCATTCGCTTCCTGAAACCTGCATCGTTACGCAGTCGGCGCTTCAAAGAATGTCCCTACTTCTAAAATGCTCTTATCGATTTCAGAAGCGCGAACACGTTGTCACGTGGTCTTGTTATATTTCGCGGACTTTATTTTTAGGTTCATTAAAAGTAGCGCGCAAAGCATGCCATGTTGAAAACACCGTAATTGGGTGTTCCTGAATACGCTCCACAGCCTTTCCAATTCACACCTCCGCCCTTCGACGAATATTTAAAAAGTTAGCTAATTAATCTTGAATAATTAAATCACTAGGCGCACTAAAACCAAATTTCGGAACTTTCGTAGTTAACAAGGTACATTTGACAACACTCCCGCCGCAGCGCTCCATTTTTTTTTTTTTTTTCTTTTAAAGTTTGGTGCAAAGGGAACAGCGGAAAAATATTCAAAGGACCAGGGTCGAGAACTGGCCAGTCTTTTACGCGTGATCAAAATAAGTAACGAAATAGCGTTACTAGTTACTTTCCCGAAAATTTGCGCGCTAGATTCGTTATCATCCTGTTAAAGTAACAAAATATCGGTACCGTTGCCTCAACCGTTACTTTTGCGTTACTTAAGATTTCAGTACTGCACTCTCAGAAAAAAAGGTGTATTATTACACCCCTTGTCCCATATAATACACCCCAAAACTTCAATTCGACGTACAGCGCCCCATCATCGAACAGGCGGCACAAAAGTTTACGAGGGGCTTGATAGCCGTGTGGTACAACTTATTAAGATAGCTGATGTACGTATTACTGACAACAAAAAAGATTATCGGAGTTTTCTTGGCCGTACTGCAAAAGCTCCGTGCTTTCTTCCTTTGGTCTTTGATACGTACTTTAGCAATTTAATAAGTTATATCGCACCATTATCAGGCCCCCGGAA